CTATAATGCCAAATGTGTCATATTTGATACGGTTTCTGAAGTCTTTTAGATCTGAGACTTTTTGCATCATTCAGTGGTAAAAGCTTTGCTCAAACCCCTGTTGTACTCATTCAGATATACCTGATAACAGCCAGTAGAAGACTACACCAAAGTATATTTTTGACTCATTGCACGCTAATTTGATCAAAATAATTTCTGTTTTTTTTTCTTCATATGTTGTTGAGGGGCCAAAGAAAGACTTCAGACTAAAAAATTAAATATTCTTCCTATTTTTCTTGGATCAGGCTTTAAAAGGTCAAGCATGGCTCAAGTGTCCACCGGTACAAACAAAGACCGTTTCAGGATTTTGTCCTAACACAAATCGACCAGAAGGCAGTTTCTCGATGATCGAAGATGTTTCGGCTCTCATCAAAACCTCCGGAGAGCCTCATTCAGAGGTCAGAAACTGCTCAGCTTTTTAGTCCTGACCGACACTTCTGCTGGCCAGCGTTTGTGTTTTTTGCTGCTTCACCCTGACTCTGTTTTCTTTGGCTAAAGAAATAGGAACACATTTAACAAAGAGACCAGAATCAGAATCAGAATCAGGTTTATTGCCAAGTAGGTTTTTAGACTTACAAGGAATTTGCCTTGGTGTTTGGTGCACAACACAACACTTCTATGAGAAGCAAGAAATAATATGTAGAATTAAAAATATAGGACAGAAATTATCAAACTGAAAAATACAATCTTTAAAAATATAGATCCGAATGTACAAATGAACAAACTTTAAAAATATAGATCCGAATGTACAAATGAACCAAAGATCCCATTCAAACCGCTTCTTTGCTAATTTGTGTGGTCTGTGTGGCCACAAATCTGGCTCATCCTTTGAGTTAGGGGCCTTTTTTTGTGCCTGAACGTTTCATAATTCAGAGTTAAATGGATTGAAATGGTCAGATAAACGGACTAGACTGAAAATGAGAGAAAAGGCAGAAAATATTCAAGTAAAATTGAAATACTGAACTATTGATCAAAAGTTGTACATTAGCAAAAAGCAGCAGATCAAAGGAGGAAGAAGAAGCTTTTATGTGTCTTTGTTCTTGGTCCCTGGTCTTTATATTCACTCAAAATGAAAGTTTAAATCCCTGGAAATCACCTTCCTGTCAGCCAACTTTAGTCTCTGATGACATCATAGATGCACGACGCTTTTCTGTAAATAAAGGATGTCCCAAAAGTTGTGAAGGGAAGTGGGTCACATCTGTGTTTA